CGGGGGGAGTGAGGGGTGCTGCGACCGAGCAACGTAGTTTCTAGTCTTTATATTTTCTAAATCCGGAGCTGCGATATTGTTTATCTTGTTCATCTTGTTTTATGTTTTGCAACCAAATCCTGTTTATCTTGACTCTGCTTTCCTTTGACCATAAAATTGTATATGCTATTTCCTTTTTGAAAGTAAACTGAACTGAACTAAACGTAGATAGCGCGGGGATGTACGTACGCTTTGCGACTCCGCGACGCATGTGAGCGCGGAGCCGGGTGCGTGTGTTGTTTGGACCCATGAGATTGACCTCCAGCTCCCCGGGGGGTCCTCGCCGTCGTTGCGGCCGCGACGGACCCGTCCTGGAGCACGGCCAGATATTCAGGATCCGCGCACAAAATTATTCTGGCGCGTTCTGTGGCGTTGCAGGCCACGGGCTCCAGCCCGGAGCACAGTGGCGCGCAGGGCTCAGTCAGGTGAGCTAGGCGACGCTGCCGGCGGGACCGCGGTAGACGGTCATGGGAGGGAGTTGCGGGGATAATGGGGAAATTCGGGGTTTATTTTTAAATCCTTGCGTCTCCCATCGGTTGCCGCCGGCAGCTATGGTCGCTCGCGGGCGCATGCGCTGCACGACTGTCATCACTAGCGTGCATCGGAGAGTCAAGAGGGGATTGCGCGGGAAAAGGGGGAACTTTGTCGCAAGCGGGTAGCGTAGAGGTTGCCTATCGCCCGCAGCGACTTTCCTGCTTATTGTACCTGCGGTAGATAACGACTCGCGCTGCCCGCTGGCGACACATTCCCATCTTTTCCCGCACAATCCCCGCGCGTGTTTGGCGTCACAACATGAATTTCAGCGAGATTAAACTCTCCTATTTTAACCTGTAATCTAAATTGACACCTGGCAAATCACCCTGACGAGGTGGAAAAGGGCGAATATTAAACCGAACGAACACATTTGTAATACGTTGTTAATTAAATTAGTGTATTTTTTCATATTTTATTGGTAAACTCGATTAATAACTGCCGAACTGCAGTGCAAAGCAGAAAGAGATCAAAACGAACAAGATGAAACGAGAGAATCGTTTCGCATTATGGCGTCCTAATTTCTAGGAATGTGAACACACTCGCAACGGGCAGCTCTGTGATCTTGGGAACAGCCATCTCTTGGGTCATGAGAGAATAGGATCAGATAGATGTCTTCATAGTCCTCAACCTTAAGCTTGCGGCGACAGACCACCAGCTCTTCGTGGCAGCGCAGAGAAGCGCACGGGGCGCTGCAGTGCTTCGTCGTACAGTAGATAGCTGTCATGAAGTCCACCATGATCTTGACGTGCAGCAGCGGATTGCGCTTCATGGTCGCCCGGACCACGTCAGAGTGGAGCCAGGCGTGCGCGCAGGAGGTCCCACTGGGGTCGGAGGCCAGCTCCAACAACCCCAAGGCCGGCGCCGTCACGGGACTGATGAGCTCCAAAACCTGGCCCCTTTCCTCCAACGTCAATTCGGACATTCCGAGGCGTTGCAGGTGCTGCAGCGAGGGTAGCGCGCCGAACAATGGCTCCAGCAGGGGGAAGTGCTGTTTAGAGGAGTCGTCGTTCTGGACGGACAGCGCCTCCAGCCGGGACCGTCCCGACGACGCCAGCGCCAGGACGAGGCCCCCGCCGACGTCAGTGGCACTTCGAAGGGCGGGCTGGTACGTCAGCTTTACTTCTCGCAGATGTTCAGCGCTGCGGAGGAACTGCGCAACCTCGGCGACGAGAGTTTTGTCCGGATGTATGGTGAGGTGCAGGAAGCGCAGCGCCTTACAGGATCCTAGGGCTCCAAGCCCGGGGATCAGCATGGAACTTAGCTTCCTGAGGCTCATGCAGCAGGCCAGGAGGGGCGCCACGGACGTGCAAGCCGCGCTAAAGCTCGTGTCCACCGACCGGTAGACACAGAAGTCAACCTCCTCGAGGGTCGCAGCGTGCACGCTCAAAATGCAGTCGAGGAAGGGCACTGCCTCTGGTTCAAAGTCAAAGGTAAACCTCTTCAACGACGCCACACGCACGCTGCTGTGGGCGACCACCTTGGCCGTGCTCCCCGAGCACCCAGTGTAGTTAATGATTTTAAGCTCCTCGAGTCCAAATGTCGACGCTAGCGCGCCCATAAGCGCCCTCTCACCCTTACGAAAATTAGAATCCGCAAAACTGATTTCAAGGCGCCTCAGCCGGCCGAGCGGCTGCTGTCTGCAGAGCGCCATGGCGGCGAGCATGGCGTCCATGGAGTTGTCTAGAAGCAGCTCCATCCCCGCGAAGGCGCAGCTGGTCATGGTGTAGGCCAAGAAACAGCCTCTTGAGGGGAACGCGGCCTCCAGCGTGTCGAGGCACGGCGCCAGGCGCAGCACTGGGCACACGCAGGCGTCGTCCTGGTTCAGCCGGCGGTGTCGCCAAACGTCGCGGTGCAGGGCCAGGCCGCCGAGCCTCTTGCACACGAGGCGGAGGGCGAGGAGGTCCTGCACGTCCACGTACTGCATCGCCATCACCAGCGCGTCGTCCGGCAATTGGGTCAGCTCCATCCTCAATCTGTAAGCACACGACCAAGAGACTCGGGTCAGCACGCGAAACAAGAGGTCGAAACACACCAAAGGGCGGTTGCCTAGGGACACCCTCGGTGAACCGGATAAACATGGTCCAATAGTAGATGATTACCTTGCGGAGATTCGTGTTCTCGAGGGGTGGATAGCCCGATTCACGGTACCGAACAAGGTGGTAGCGACGGAGTCGTCCTGAAGGTGTGACCGAGAACCGAGACCAGAAGTGACCAGGGCATGGACCGAGCCGAAACTGAAGACCGACACCGACCGACACCGACGGACGTGTCGACGAGTCGTCGTCGACGACGACCGACCGACCGATCGGGCGCCCCTCGGCTTCGGCCGGCGCTCGGGAATCCCAACCGTCCCTTCGACTTACTTGAGAGAACCAGGCCACAACTGACTTAAGGTTTTTCAGCTTGGACATATAATATAAGGGCCCAAAGGCTAAGTGCTAAGTGTCGCAGTGCCCCAATTGAATTTCGGCCTTGCCCTGTACCGTAAATCAAAAAAATCAGTCTTATTTTAGAGGACACATTCCTACAAATTTCAACTCGCGCCAAACAGTACACGAAGTACCAAACGCTCGGTTCTCAAGTTCTAATAATAGCCATCTTATTGATGCTGCAAATTTTACAAAATAACGTTTGCAATCGAAATCCCTAGCTCCATCCTGTCTTTGTCAAGAAAGTAAAGGAATCGCGACATAAAGAAAACTTGGAGCCGGAATCGAACCTCCGACCGTCTG